CCCCCGTTTGTTAATTGGGGGGGGGGGAGGGCTTTCTTTTCCCCTTACCATGGGGGGCTTTGGGGCCCTTTTCCCCCCCCCCCCCCCCCTCCGTTTCAGCCTGCCCTACCCGTGCCCTGCTCCCTCACCAGAGTGAGACCGTCAACAATGTCTCGGTCGGCCTTAGCCGCGGCGTGGCACTGCTGGTTGCTGCTCCCGATGCCCGACTTCTTGTTGCAGTTCATGGGCACCAGGGCGCCTTGAGTGGGGTCGCTGCTGCCGCTCATAGCTTCGATTAGTGCTCGGCCTTCGGGCTGCGGGATCATCCCGCTGAATATTTCTGCTCGTCGTGTAGAGGTACAGTTGGGGGGGGGGGGGGTCTATCACGTGCCTGCAGACAAGTGCCAGTGCCCCGTATAGTGCCGTTTCGTTCTGCTGGCACAGATTGAATCACACGGTCGTTGTGTACCTTGAATAGTGCGGGTGTCCGGTATAGTGCTGCTCAGTGTCTGGGCACGTACCGGCAGTAAACAGGGCCACCCACTGTATACACACGGCAGGACTGAGGGCAACAAAAATCCGCGTACTACTACTGCTGTGGTTCCTACCATGCGCGTCCCAATACGGTTCACGATGAAAGTATGGGCTCGCAGTCACCTGCTGCGCAATGAGTCCATACGCGTTTACGTAAGCTTTTCGTGAGGGCGACAAAAGAAGGAGAGGATCCAGTTTTGCACGATGCACGCAAACCACAAGCGCACATGCTCTGCTGCCACCACACGGAGCGTACGGTGACTACCCGTTTGTTCCCGTCTCAGAGAAATGGCACCGATAATCGGGACTGCCCAGCAGGAGAACTCGGCCCACCGATCCCAAACGAACAAAACACGTCCTTCTTTCTTGATATCAAATCCGGTTTCGAACGCGATGCGCACCTCTAGCCTTGTCTTACTACATTCTGAGGCTCGAAAGCTAAAAAATTTCAACCCATCCGGTAGACACCTCACACTGAGGTGGTTTTGGTCTCTCACCCAAGTCCATGCCATCCGGGCCCGGCGGGTGGAGCAGACCCTGTTCGTTGTTGACGACTAGGAGTGCGCTCGCCGAGGCCTCTTGCGCGTTCCTCGCCTTGTTGGTGTAGGTGCAGCTCCCTCTCGTCGCGATCACCACCGCCGATCCTTGGATTCAATTCGAACGGGGGCGGTGGTAAGGCCAGCGTTAACACAGAGAGAGGCTCGAGTTTTTGTCCTCTTCTCTGGCCGTTGTCTATGAGGCACTCGCTGTTTTCTCCACGGTTGGTAATATTTGCACCAGTCTCGCGATAGTTTCTGGTGCATCGCCATCGCCGAAGATTGACCCCACTGTCAGATCGCAGATGAGCCAAAGTCGTTCGTCTTTTAATGTACTCTGTCGCCACCTGCTCAGCACATCTCTAAACTCAAGGTTTAGAGCTACGGAGCGGCTCACGTGCATCATCAACGTTTCGTAGCGGCTTGCAGCCGTCCAGTGGATCTGCCAGGACCAATCGCCGCATCCCGTCCGCCGGCGGCCCGCCGAAGTGAGACCTGATGCCGTCAGCGGTTGCATTTTCACAAGTCGAGAGCTGACATGTAGCCATCGCTACGATTCTCTAGATTTCATTGGTGGCACGTACTTTCATCTCCAGGGTTTGACGCCTCGGGGAGAATCCGGGTCCATAGCAGTTGTGGGAGACAACAAGCAAGCGAGCGGCTGCCAGGCGCTGCTCTCTTCGAACTTTGCAAAATCCCAAAGGTCGCCAAATACCACATGCAGTGTATATTCAGGTGAGCATTTTAAGCAGCACAAAATTAACAATCGACAGAGTTAACATGACCGCAGAGACCTTAGGTACTGGATCGGCGCCGGCCAATCGTCGATGTACAGTCGTCCCCAGGGACGCGAGTCTCGTAGCTCCTTCTGGTCGGCGGTCGTTCCATCGTCCTTGAAGTCGCGAGTCTCGAAGTTGAGGTTGGAGAGAACCTCGGGTAGGAGCTTCAGTTCCCCGCCTCCGACATCGAAGAGGTTTGGTGGTCGGTTGTATTCCTTCCCGTCGTGGATGTACTTGTGCCTCTCTTCGTCTCCAGGGTTGGGCACGATCTTCTCCTGTTTGGGCTCTCGAATCTCAACCACGTCGCGGACACGTGCTGAGGATGCGACATGCCTGCCGTAACACGGTTTGACGGTTTAATAAGACATTCCGGCACTAACCCGGTGCCCCCAGTATATGGCTGCTTACTCGAATCTTTCTCTACCGGTTTCGAAAGATATACATGTACGCGGCTACAAGATATGGCACGAGCAACGATCGCAAACCGGGTGGTGGGTGTGGCGGCGCAGCTCAAGGATCTCGCAGTTTTACGAAAGGAGAACCAGTTGACTCACCCAAGTAACAGAACGAACGCTGCGCCTACTACCCTAGCCATCCGCAGTGTGTCACTGTCCCGAGTAAAGCAGAAATTAGGCAGATGATGGCTGATGGGAGATGATGTGTCCTTGGGAGGGACTCCGCGATTCGAAACGACCCTACCCCCTTCTTCTTGTTCACGGTAACAGCCGCTGACCCCCATAGAATGAGCAAAAAGAGTGAGCAGAGGCGGCTAAATAGCCGTGACATAGTACAAAATATTCATCTACCGAACGAAAACCATGGTGCTGTCGCGTCTCGTTTTCTAAGCAAGGGAACAGCAGAGGAGGATGTACTTGGGATTCCGTACCATGTGCTTTGGGGCGCGCCTATTTACTCCGAATACCCCCATGATTTTCCAAAACCGCGGGCCCCCTCTTTCGCGTACGCGATCTCTTCCACCGCCACACACCGATTTGTTTCGCCTTGACAGCAGTGCCACCATGTCCGACGCTGCTGCCAAAGGAGGGGAGAAGCCAGGCGAGAAGGGCTCACCCAAGGTCTCTTCCACGAGCTCGTTCTGGTGAGGTTTGTGTGGACGTGCCTTCACTGCTTTTTACCGAGAGATGCACAACAACTTTTGTACATATCAGCAGTACGAAATGACTTACTTACATCCTTGTGCATATGCCAAACATGATCACTCAAGCTCTTTCGATCGCATTCACTCTCTTCTCTTTCCAGACCATCCTAGGTGAAAGACGCACATACCCATGCTTGGTTAGCCATCTATATCTTCTATTTATATCTAGCGGCTGCTCTGCGTTCGTACCCCGCAACCGCTGTCTTGCTCTCTCGAGAACTCCAACATACAATACTTCCTTCAAGCTTGCAGCAATGTGTCTCGCGGCTGCTGCTGCTGCTGCAGCATAGCATTGTTTCTGTGTGTGTTTTTTATTGTAATCCTTAATTGTCTCTCTATGAGACTGTTGTCTCCAGGTTCGCGTGTGAGCAAGTTCCCGTTGGGATGTGTGGTGTGGATACACACCGGTTCAACCTCTGGTGAAGAGGCTGACGAGTACGGATAGTTGTGTTGTGAACCAGGGGGGAGCGACCTTGTGTTGAAGCAAGGTTCAGCATCCACTCGACACTGACTCTATCTGTGGCAACACCCCGAAGGTAGATCTCCGACAGGTCATCTGACGTCACCATCTACTACAGTCTGAGGTGGCATTCACAGCACCCCCCTATCTTCAATCACGGGGCCTGAATCCGGATTGAAAGATACAAGAATGACATAAATGACCCAGAGTGTATGAAATGGTGAAGTCCTGATGAAAAACACGAGTTAAATGACTTGGGCCGTAACGTACGGCGACTGCCATCATTCAACGAATGTTCTGTGTTTTGTAGTCATAAAATTTGGAACGTGTCACCAAAATATCTCATCCGAGCATCGATCGTACATAATGCAGTCACAACCACAGTTTGCACGAGAGCAATTCAGGAATTTTGGCAACTATTCCCGTACGACGAACGAATAACTACACAGATGACGAAAGGTGTACGGAACATGTCACTTCAGTCCGCCTCGGCGCTGTAGGTAACATGTGATCTACCGTACGAACGAACGACGGGTGTACAGAAAAAAACATCACTTCGGTGCGCGTCTTGCCCCGATAGTGTAAAAAAAACTGTACGAGTAGTACCTTAAGACAACGCCGTGAACTATTTTGTAGTTGCACGTAACGAACATCCAGCAACGAAAAATAATTTGGCATTGCACCTGTGAAAAACGATTGCTTGCAAGGCTTAAAGTTCACAAGTGTCGAATGGCAAATGACGTGGGTCGACCCGCTGGGAAAACGTTGCTCAAACGATATGCAGCTGCAACAACGAACGAACATATGTGCACAGCTCACGGAGAGCTAACGATACGACCTTCTCATGCGATTACGCAAATGAGAGGCGCTGCATAGACGAACGACGACGAATGGTGATTACGAGTACAGCAAACGATATGCTGTAGCATGGATTTGACGCAGTAGTGGGACGAAGGTCTGGTCCTCTTGTGCTTCCTCTTGCACGGCCAAGACACCCATCTACTCTTTCGCAGTGTACGACACGCGAGAAACGATGTGCGGATAACGAAAGGTGTACGGAACATGTCACGCAGTCAGCTTCAGCGCTGTAGGCAACATGTGATCTCCCGCACGGACGAACGGCACGGAATAAAAATCCACCGCACGAAACGACTAGCCAAATCGGGCATGAACAAAACCGTGTGAACAATGCAAAAGTGCATGGATCCAGAAGTCGATTATCAATTGCAATTCCCCCAAACTGCAAGTGAGACGATATCACCCCCCAATTTAATGACGGAGTGGACGAGAAAAAACGACGAACGTCCGATCCTGCATATTCGCTCACATGAAGTATCAACTGACCCCATACGACGCACTCGTATCTCAAGGACAGCGACACAACGGTAATGGACGCTTCACACCACGCACGATTGTCTAAAAAAAAAAAAAAAAAAAAAACGGACGCACGTTCCAATCATAAACAATTGAAACGCTGACGGAGCTCGTACGAGGTACTATTTCGTACGGCATTTAAACGGAGAAATATATAAAAAATAAATAAATCACACAACGGACGGGCAACGCCATGCCTTAAAAATGACGTGCGCTAGCATGCATGTCCAACGAAACGAAGACACGCAACCATGCTTGGTTCGCGGAGGGCGAATCTCGACGCGAACTAGGCTCCACCTGCCGACTTCCACGAGGTGTTGCATCCAACGTGGGCGTATCCACCAACAACGACAATGTCCGGCCGGACTGCGAAGGAACGTTGGGGACGGTGAGCACTACGAAACGATCGTGCTGGACAACAAACAATAACATATATGTACATATAAAATAAATGAAATAAAATAAAATAAACGAAAACGTAGCCCTTGGAAAATAAACGAAACACGAAACGAATAAGGCAAAACACAGCACGAAACACGATACGAAGCAGCCAGGACGCTACTTCCTGGGAGAATGATCAAAGGCGTGCGGATTATCACGAAGAACGCACGCTCGATATGAACGGATCATCTCATGACACTGGGGTACTTCTTTGAAGTGCTTCCAACACCCAAGACTCGCAGGACGGTCTTTGAGGAGGAAATAATATTGGAAGTTGTGGGGAGACGGTTTTCCTGCTCCACGTTTAAATTTGTCTATCCCCTCGACGACGTACGATCCAATTTTTACGGTAAACACGGTACCATCCAAATCAGGAATTGGAAGTGTTTGTCCCAAAAACATCTCATCCAATTCAGTAAAATCGGGGACAGAATCACGTTGAAAAGCATAGTACTTTTTCATACGACCTAAGTGTACTGACGTTTCCGCGAGTTCGCCGTCCTTGCAAACACGATATATGACGGGTGACACTTTTGAACGAACGGTAAATGGGCCATGCCAAGGGCTGATCAGCTTGGGATTAGGGCCATCAATAACGGTATGGGGACGATGTACGAGAACTTGTTCCCCAGGAGTGAACTGCGGTACGGATAATTTTTCGTTCGAGTCTGCTTGCTTGTCAGTTCGCTCTTTCAAATTACGACGAGCGATCTCATACGCGAGTTGCAAGTTATCCACGGTACGACGTGAATATTCCATTCGCGAAGCAGAGCTATCATGAGACGGTACACCAAGAATGACATCCACGGGAAGCAAGGCCTGGCGACCGAACATCAGATAATGAGGAGTTTCCTCAAGAGTTTGGTTGTACGCGGTGTTATGGGCGAGTTGCACAAACGGTAAAAGCTCAGCCCAATTATCAAACCGAACGTTTGCATACATTGCGAGCATGCCATGCATTGTGCTGTGCACTCGCTCTAATACAGAGTTGCCTTGCGGCCGATACGCGGACGTCCGAGTTTTTTTGAAACCAAACACGGCCTGCAACTCTTTAACCAACTCATTCTCGAACTCAGTGCCCTGATCACTGTGTAACGTTTCAGGGGGAGAGAAAACGGAAAAGACACGCTCTACAAGAGCCTGTGCAATTGTTGTTGCTTTTTTATCACGAATAGCAATCAACACGAGAAAACGGGTCAGGTGATCGATGACCGACAAGACGTACTTGCAACCCTGTGATACGGAATTATATTCAACGAGGTCGATCGCGACACACTGAAACGGACGCGTAACGGGACGGTGACCCACAGGTAATAACGGTCGTCTGTGGGACGT